AGTGATACATGTTACATATTACWAATTACTATAGGCTTGGATCACTATACCGGTTACATTTGACCATAGATAAACAAATGTTGAATAATTTTTGTTTGAAATAAATATCCAAAATACCTAGTATTATTATTAAATCACGAGTATATAACAAGGAAAGTTACTAAAAACATATTTACCCATCACTACATCATATACCATCTAAAAAAATGTCTCCCCACAAACCGTGTGCAAACGCACGCGGCACACCAATGTCATTTTTTTTTAAATTATTATTATTATCATAAATACGATCGAACCRCACGTGCTGCGTTCAGGTCTTAAGTTCGGTCGCAGCTAAGTTTTGCCCTACAACTGCAGTAGACGTTTCAGGACGTATATTATACTGACATACTGTCGCCGCGGTGTTGTCGGTCTTCGATATCGTAACCCGAGATCCATAAAAAAAAAACATAATCATAGTAATAATAATAATAATGACACGTATTTGCTACGGCTTATGGGTGACGACGGCAGCAGCAGTGCAGTTATCCGCGAACGATGKGATATCKAATTTTGTCGAGAGGGAAAAACAAACTCAATATCATATTCATTCGTCGKTGTGTGGGTGTATGTGTCAACTTTTGTTGGCAAATTATTTTTGCGTCGCTATACACGGCATCCCGAGTGTAAACCTACACGTCATATAGGTATACGAATGGTATAATAATAATGTTTGTATCATAAGATGATGGTAATRATAATATTCCGACGGCCCGGTAAATAATATTATTCTCGTAGGTTCTCATACTTATTCATAGTATTACATAATAATATATATTTTACGAGCAACGAGCCACGGTATAATATTTTTTCCAAAAACTTCTTACACTGRCGATGGTCCACGGTAACGTGTTTTATTGAGGTAACCGGTTTTCTGGTATGTCGCGCGCGCCGTCGCCATCGTTTCTCAACCGTCCGTAATGTTGTCTTGTACGCCCATGTCTCTGGTCTGAGGTCTCTCTGGTTGATTGATCAATATTAATTATTGGGATCGTGTCGGTCCATCACCGAACAACAACAATATCCTTTCGTAATATTATCATTAGGCAATAGGCATTATTGWCATGAGACAAGTTCACACTGTTGTGTCTTTTTTCTCCACCATCATGAGTATTTAGCCATTGAGCAGTGCTCGAATCGAAGGGGAATAATATGCAAAAATATGAGAAAAATGTGCATACCTGAATATTAAAAATATGTCTTTTTGATTAGGTGTACTTGATATTAAAATAAGAAACGAATGTAAAAACGCATGTCATAACCATTTGAAGTACAAAATAATTAAAATATCGATCATTTGTATACTATCCCTCCTGACTTTCTTCTAATCGAGTTAATTAAATCTGAGGTGTCCATTTCCGTTTACCCAACATTTATTTTTTCATTTAGCATGGGACAAACGCACATTTTAATTTGTGAACAAGATAATGCTTTTTTATTCAATATTGTGTTATGTGATTATTTTTATGTAGTTCCTAGGTGCCTATGACATTGCGAAATGAGTTTAAAACACGTAACATAATAGATATGATGATACAAAGTGTCGTTGGTCAGGAAAGCTTTGACGAATCTATTAATACAGTTACCCCAGTTGCCCCTAAATAGGCATATTATGTATTACATATGTTTTTAAATTACAGAAACATTTGATTTATTCGCCCCCCCCCCACCGTAGTAATAAAACACCCTGTACAGTTTGCACACGATGCCGGTTTAGGTGAAAATATATAATCGCAATAATAATTTATTCTCACTTCGACCATCGAACCGAAGACACGATGCGTGGRAAGTCGGTAAGGCCCGTCTACAGTCATACGACCTGTGTATTAAAATATTACTATTATTATTACTATATATACGACCCCGACGGCGTGTCGGCAGCAGGCCCGTTTGCCGGCATGGTCGTATCGTTCCTGTACAATGTCACGAAATCGTTATACGGCCGACGACRGTCCGCAGCAAGCAGGYCTGCAGCGGACCGAGTGGCGGAATCGCGTGGTAGTACGAGTAGTACGACCGGCAGTGGCGACTGCTCAGCTGACGACGCACCAGGCGGCTCCCTTAAAACCATTTCGAACGTACCTACAAACATGCGCGGCGCGCCGCCGCCTCTTACCAGCGCTGCCACCCGAACGTTACACAACGGAGCCGAGTAAACGGCCGTAACACAGTACACGAACCCACGCTGACGCTCCATCGTGCCGGCGCGCGCGTTTCAATGTTAACCAGCCGCACCGCAACCGCCGACGTCGAACGGTCGCTCTTCGTATGTTATTAATATTTGGACGGTCGTTCGTGTTTCGCCGGATATCTTCGAGCAACAACAGCAACTGCGTTATTTACAAAGAGTGTGAACGGAAAACGTTCGACGGCAGTCGCGGTCCACCGACGATAATAATTGCCAATTATCATTCGCAGATATCGCAGATTATTTACTTAATACAACATTAAAATATATTATAGCATAATAATACATGTTGAGTTTGAGACGCGCGACGGATAAAACGTAACGAAAATTAATTCATGCTGCTAAAGCCATCTCGTCGTCATAATATTATAATTATAGTATATTGATATTATAATTTCGTGAAAAAACTCAAACCTACCACGGCAACAGTAATATTATGGTAAATATTTTTATCTAATTATACATTATATCTTATAATATACCACATATCTATTTATTTTTACGCTTAACATAATATATTGTGTACACCTATATTGTTACTGCAGGTTATTATACACGTATTATGTATAGTCATGTTTTTAACTGTTTACATCTCATTTCATATTAATAATAATGTGGCATCTGTATTATTATATCATTAATGATTATTGCTGTTTACAAATATAATATTATGGCACATGGTCTATGCAGTGAATCGTAAATCGTAATACAAACGGACGGTGTTATTCGATTGTGTACCATATTTTGACCATTTATGCCTTCCAGTGTTGTTTAGGTGCTTCCCTGAAGGCGCTATATTGCGGCGTGGACGTGTTTGGTCCGTATTTTCTTGTTATTCACCAAACTGAATAATATCGTTTAGGCAAAACGATTTCACTAGGTATATATTATAGCCATTACTCATTAACAATCCATTTAAATAACCACCTAACCCATGGTGAAATAGTTTTTCAACGCATTAACCACAAGGCTTAAGGGAAATACGAAGGTGGTGTGGCATAGTGCATCAAGTTGGATAAATTAAAAATAATTATAATATGTTTTATGTTACTTGGTAATTTGTATAGAGACTAACATATTGTACACTATGTATGTGGCATGCAAATCTGTATAAACTTGGCAAATCAACATTTAACACTCAGACCAAACTACCTAAAAAAGATGAATATTTTTTGTTAAGAAAACTTAGAAATATCCACTTTACTCAAAAATAAAAAATTCTGTACAATTCTTTATCCCAAAATTATTTTTGAGATACGTTTTAAAATAAAAAAAATATTTAATATATTTATATATTAAATACTAAATTATTATATTGTATTATTTTATTTATTATTACTACCTATTATTTTTTTTTAAAACACTGACTGCTAAAATAATATTTTTCAATCCGAAACTAGGATAATTATTGTTGGTACGTACAAATTATTCAATCATTAAATATTTGTAACTACAACATAGTTTATTAGTATTTCAATCATTCGCTCAACTTACTTCCCCGATCTCATATCATGATTATTGCGTAGAAAATCAGAGGGGAGAACGGAAAAATATATCGTTCACCTGACTTTGGTACGCAATTGAAGGTCTCCGATAAACATGGTAATAATACGCAACATAAGCTTACCTAAATTAKTGGTGTATCAATCTATTGATTATGAGAATAGGTTCACTCTATTTGTATTTAAAGGAGAACAAAACACAAAAAATAAGTTTTTTTCAATTTGAAAATTGCCCATCTTATACAGTTCTACGTGTGATTGATAAGTTGATTGCTTTACACAAAAATTTACTTAACTTTAAAGTATATTTTAGAATTTTTTTCAAACRTCGTAAGCTCGTAAGTGAAGTTTTTTTATGCACTGAAAACGTAGATGGAACCAGCATTTTGTCTTAAGTGTTTAGTTTTTCTTTTCAAATATTGAAAAATCTTTTAAAATAATTTGTTACATATACGGTATACGAATTGTAACTGCGACATTCACTTATCGTAKTGACACGAAAACAATCAAACATCAAAAATCATTGTGTAAACTGTAAATGTATTTGGTCTAATAAAGCACCCCAGCYATTCTAATTACCCAAATAATTCATCAAATAAGATTTTTACATTGAATTTCGACCAATAACCGTTTTTAACAGTGCTAAGTTAGTTACTACAATAATTTAATATTAAATAATAATTTGAAAAAATATTATTTTGTGATTTTTTAATATGTACGTATAATATATTGTAAGTAACAGTATTATAATAGGTTCTTTGAAAATGCAGTATAATACATTATTAATCAAATAATATTATTTAAATTATTTAAAATATTTTTCAGATATAAAAAAAATCCATGTTTATTTTCATATTAGGTACTAAATTATATAAATAGAATATTTTTTAAATAAGTCATTACCTGAGCTGAAATTCTATATCATTTTTAATTTTCATATTTCTTACAAAATGCTCAAAATTTGTTTCATTATTCAAAGAATTTAGCAATTTTTTTAGATTTTCAATGCCATTTCGGGACTTTTTGAATATTGCATTGCATATTAACCTGTTTTTTTTAAATGAAACTTCGTCATATTTTATGAAATAACATTTACCTGTGTTTTAAATGGGAGTTTGTAAAATTTGCACCAAATTAAAGATATGTAATTTTCACTATCTTCAGATAGATAGTCGAAAATATAATTTGTAATTTGCACCAAAATGATTTTTATTTGTTCGATTTTGAAATATTTGAATATTCCTCGATATATTCGTTGACGTCAAGACTAGATGAACACGAATGACAATAATATTTTTTTTTTATTCATAGTAATACGACTTTAATAGTTTAATATTACATATATTTTTTTTAATTGACTAACTTTTTTTTATATTCATAATTATACGATTTTATATATATACTTACAACAATATGTGTATAACCTCAGCTATTTGAAAAATAAAAACTAAGGTAAATTTAAATTCAGATACATAGAAACTTGTAAGTTGGTACTATCAAGATACTATCAAAARAATAGTCGATGCAAATTACAATTCCTATTTCTAACTATACCTAAAGATGGTGCAAATTACATATCCTTATTTTGGTGCAAATTACAAAAGCATTWAAAAAAAAAATGGTGCAAATTACACATGTTGTATRTATTTTTGGTCAATTTTGGAGTAAATTGACTACAACCTTTTTGATTACTGTCTAATTTTAAAAGTAAATAAAGATCCGCGATTACTATCAATTACTACACGACGCAGCGCAAGCAGCAACGTTCATAACTTTTATACTACTTCTTCTTTAGTTATAATTTTAAACTAGTATCTGATAATTTTGATTAACCCTCTTTTTGGTGTTAAGTCATTTTTTGCTGCAATTGTCATCGAACTAGTATTGAATGTTGCGAAACCGTTGAAAACACTGTATAAAAGGACGTAAATCTGATATTTGTTATCTCTGTCTTACAATCACCTAACATAACAAATTTATGCTCATTAAGATCACGCGTAGCTTCGTTAATTTATAAATAAAAGTAAATCGACTTTTTATGAAAAGAACATTATCTGTGTTTCTATGTTTGTTTCTTACGATAATTCATTTTTTTAAGCAAGTTATGAGCATTTTTAATTTACACCTCATTTTATACGCWAAACATGCTAAAAAATTTATTAAGGTATCGTAAAAACCCACAAACAAACACAGGTAATTTTCTTACCATCAAGCTTCACAATAAGTCGATTCTCTTTAATTTTTAAATTAGCAAAGCTAAACTTAGTCGGCTGTGAGTAAATTTGCTATGTTACGCACTTTTACGTAAGACGAAGATAACAAATATCAGTGTGTAGCATCCTTTTAAATGTGGTGCCCCATCACTATTATCATTGATCTTAAACATAGCCACAAATATATTATTGGTAGTAGATATTTTTTATAGTTTATTGATTATAACTTATAAGTACTAGAATTATAATTAATGCTAGTTTTATAAAGTCGACTTGTGTAGGTACTCGAAGTACTTACTAAAATACTGTATAGTTATATTTTTTTTTAGTTAAACAAGTTGAATTTCACGTCTAAAATTGTACTCAACTTAGTTTTAAAATTTCAAAAATTATCTATTTGTTATTATTTTTGCATATTTAGTGATGTTTAAAGCAATATTATTCTGCATATATTATTTTATGCGATTTAAGGAGCTATAAAATCCTATTAACTTGGTCATTACTATTTGGTAACATTATTCATTTGTATTATCTTGTATTTTGTTTTAAATATGTCATCACTACTAATATAATAACTTCAATTATAACTTGCTACATAAAATATTGGTGCAATTTTTAATGTCCATCTGTACTTCCTAAATGGTTTCATTTCYATTATCATTCCAGTATTCCACAATCTACATTAAAATTAGTTCAATATTGAAATATTTGAAATCACGATTCGCAGATTGTTAACGTAATAAATATAAATAAATCGAATCATCCAAAAATAAAAACATTCAACACCAGTTATAATAAGTCATTAAAGTTCAATAGCAATACTTGATAATAAATGTAATCACTACTCTTACTCAAGTAGGTATAGGTACTCGACCACCTGATAAGCACATGTGTGCTGAGCACCTGGTAGAGTAAYGTCACATTACTGTGTATATAGGTATCTCTACACGTATATTATTATTATTATTATTAGTAGTAGTAGTAACTAGTAGTATAGTATAGTAGTATTATCGTAAATTATTATATTATGATATAACTGCTTAACAGACGTAATCGAATGGAGAGGAAAAAATATTAATAACTACAACAGTATAGTGATGTGATAAATATTAGACGTTGCACAATAAATTTCAAGAGACGAGCAGTGATAGAGTGCACTCTGCGATTGTGCGATCAGTTATACATGTTGTGTTGGTGTTTCACGTAGACTGTATTTAGCTACGTTTAATATTTTAATATTAATTTAAAAACATCCGATAAATATATTATTATTAAGACTAGTTACTTTTTCGTTCCACTCRACGTCTATATTGATCGAACAACACCCGAGTGATCGTTTTTTGTAGTATCTATACACACGAACTTTTACCAACCTTTTATAACAATATATTATACCGCAGCAGCGGTCACTACTATCAATACGCATTTTCGTTAATTTTCTTTAAAACTGTGATTGATGGCATTTACTAACAAATCGCGCGCGTACAAGCACAGGGTGCTATTTGAAAGTTCGTCCGACGACATAGACTTTTCGGTGAGTACATCGTGTCCTACAWATGTACCTGCACGATATGTCGATATCTTAATAATATAATATGGTTATAAAAGKWTTAATATAATAACGCAATATGACATTGCGTGTATTCACGTTTAGCCGTTTAGGACTCGTGGCCAGACGARAATTGTAATTTTATTATTTTATTGGTATAACATTAATTTATTATAAGGTATTATTAAAAGGTATATCACACACATAAGAATGTGTGTGTATGTATRTGCGTAATATGATATTATATAATATTTTAAGACTATTTTCGTTAATTAAATATAACTACCATGCCAAGCAAAATGTGTCCCCTCGCTCCTTATTCTATTTGCTCGTAACATTTTTTTACGGTGTCCATTACGAGGTATATAATATATTATAAGTAAATTATAGGTAACCAATAGATATATTATGTTATATGTATGTTCTGCCTATGTAGGTATTGATTSAAACCTTATATTACAGTGGTAGATTAAAAACCATAATAATACAAATGGTTATAATCTTAAGCCAAAGTTCCAAAAGTTTTAAATTAATATTGTTTTGCCATCAGTAATAACACGTTAGAACTTCCCGTGTTCAACATTATTATACTCTTGTAGAAGTAGCTGTTTTTAAAATTCATAATTTAATCGTTATATCATATTATTGTGTATTAATATAACGTATAATAGGTATATTTTCCAATTTCCTACATAAAGTTGTAAAAATTATATATTATTAATCCAAATAAATTATGACCGCTAGACAAAGATAAAAATTAAAAAACTTATATGAAGAAGAAATATTTACGACACAATCGCTTGCATTATACTGATCTATTAATATTATAATTTATTTTATAATTCATGTTACGTATATGTACATTTATAATATTCAAATGTTGTAACCATGTTTGTGATTTTTTTAACGCACGTATAAATTTATCGAAAACGCTATCGAAAAATTGAACCATTAAATGTTAAATATGTATACATTTATTTTTGATCTAGTTATAAAAGAATAATATTACATAATTRCTTAATAATATATTTTTAAATATAYTCGTATTATTAGGTAAATTGGTGTGTATCAAAATCAATACGAAGTGATATGTTTAGAATGTTTAGATCGTTGTTGAGACATATGATTAATTATATACCTAATATATTAAATTAAATACCAATATTGTTTTTCCTCGAAGTTTATTGGTGTGATAGGTAGAGGTTGGCTATATCGTAAAACAAACCGAAAATATACGCACTAAAGCATTTATTAAATTATCAAAGGCGCGTCGGAAATAGATCGATATATTTTACTAGATGTAGAATGAAAACTCATTCCTTAAGTGGCACACCTATATAAAAAACTAAAAACGACATTTAATATCGAAAACAAGAAAACACGTGTGCATTTTTTAAGGTCTGATTTTGCATATATTATCGCTATRGTATTGCATAATAACCACTATTGCATTTACTTCACGTGGAGGACTAGAATTTATGCAAATTATACCCATAGAATATAAATATTTTATAATTATTCTAATGTTTGCTAATAATATTTCCAAATAAGTACCTATGTCCTATATGTTTTATAAATATATAAATAAATAATTTATGTGTGTTATGTATATCGATGATGTCTCATTCAAATTATTTTAAAATAATAGAAAACCTGCCAACTGCATTACTGCAAATTACCTATACTGAGAAGTATATAAATAGATAAATTAATTTTTTTTTCTTATGTTATAAAATAAAATAGCTTTAATACTATTAATAACAAAGTGGAATCTATTTGCGGAATAAGAATTGTGTACGTATTTATTTATCATTTCGTTTATAAAGGTAAGAGTGTAAGGCATTTTTTTGAAGATTCTCGGAAAGCCTCAGACTTAATAATTTTGTATATATTTTAATATGTTAATTTTGAACAAGTATTATTGTGTGAATAATTTTGTGTAAATGTACACAAACATATAGGCATATAGTGCCTTGAACATGTTGACATGAGCATAGTAGAAATTAAGTTAATTTGTTTTTTAGACTATCACTTGTCTTATCAGGATTCAGTACATAATACATTCACACGTATACATTAGTAAGCGTGTCTCGTGACCTATATCTATGATTATGAATTTATAATTAAATTATTACTAAAAATAGTATCAGTATTTTGATTTTTTTTTTGGTATTGTATATATTATAGCTTCTTTATAATATTACACTTATTTTAAAACTTATTTAGGTCATTTTCGTGGTCCGAGAAGTAGGTAGGTATACCTAACCTATATGACTACGTTAATAACTGCTATAGATAACAATACAATTATTATGATTTATGCAAATTTAATTAGGTAGATATATAAGTATATACAAAGAGCGATTAAACACTTAGTGTCTTTCACTATCATAAATCATTGGGCATCGATGGTATCATAATGATTCTGAATTCTAATCTCTATTTTAATCTATATTTTATAAAATGCTAAAATGTTGAATAACAGTAATTTACCATAGTAGGTATACAAATACTTAAATACCTATAAAACTGCGTTTTAAATAATGCAAAAAGCAAAATSATAATATTCATAATTCGAATTCAAAGCTATGATGATACCTTTTATAATTATGTTTTAAGTTTTAACGACTTAATGTACAATGTTATCATATTATAGGTATAAATATTCGCAAAACAACTGCCCATCATCATGCACCTACTATACCTATGTAGGTAATTTTGATAATATGTGTATCAATGTTTTATAAATCACCGTTTCTTTAGTCTTCAACGACTTCAACCAAAATGTACCTATTTAATATAATTGCAACCAATCGCTAACCGTACGGTAATAAAGATCAACAAATATAATGATAATTTATATTATAATTTATCATAATATGATATTGTACAAGAATAAAAATAGTTAAAATAATRATATACCTATAGGGTATTTTAGTAATTAGTAGTTACCAAAAATGCTCATGATTTGATTTGATACTAAATTTATTAAAGTTCTGATTTTTAGAATTTTTAAATACATAGAGATACTTACTTGAAGTTAATATTTTAAAATTATTGAGATTTTTTGTAGGAGTTTTCTATTGTCATACAAACTTCTATTTTTCAAATTAAAACCTCATTAATGTAAATTATTCAGAGGATAATTTTTTGAAAATGTTAAAGTATACCTATTACCTAATACGAAATTCAAACGAGTAGTTTTTCAGTTATTACTACTTATTATGTTTATAATGATATACTAAAGATGATAGCTCTTAAATATAGTCTTAAAAAAATATGAATTTAAAAAAAATATATAGATTATACCTATGTTGAATTATTTATTATAGTTATTACACTATTGAGTCATTTTACAAATTATAAATATTGATAGATTAATACAAATTACTACAATATTGTTCATTGCCCCTATATCATCTAAACTTATCATCATAGACCTATAATACAGGGGYGGACTGGGAGATTGTCGGCCCAGGGGGAAATACAGCTTAGCGGCCCTAAATATTTTACTATATTATTACTATATAAGTTGTGATTTTGTAAACAATATGAAGGTTGTATCATTTACAAAAAACTGACAAACCAAAAAAGGTAGTAATTCCAAAACAACAAGGCATCTCACGTCATCATGCAGCGCATGCACCCCAGTCTGGACCATCATATGCCAGTGTAACAGCTGCCCAACTAACATCCAGTACTTCAAACTCAAATTCAAATTCAACGTCAAACATCTTGAATGAACTAAAAATATTATTAAATCCATTAATTTCTCTAATAACTGTAATTTTAAGCAAACTCACAACAATATTCCCATAGCAGCCATTACTTCCAATATTAAATCTCTTATCTACATACCTCATTAAAATTATCTACAATCCCCATTCCATATTCTATTTGTAAACCGTAATCTAAACTTGTAAAAGCATGATTAATATGCTGAAACATTTAATTATTAAATAAATGAAAAAAAACAATATGAATGTTTATTGACTAAATATATTACAAGTTTATTGTTCGACGACCGGCCCAAATTTCTTAATTTAGACCGGCCCAGGGGGATATTTCAGGCGGACTGCCCCTGCTATAATATCCTTAGTACACAAAGTTAAATGTTAATATCTCAAAAACTCGTAATTTTTACTGTCAACGTTTTCAGAAAATTATCCACAGAATAATTTCTGTTTAAAAGGGTGCTCTCATTAGAAAACTGAATTTTGTATTGTCAACAACACACTACACTTTAAGTAAATATAGTAATAAATCTGTGGCTTGGTGCAAGAAAGGCCAATGTCATATTTTGACAATGTCCAGGGATTATAAACACATATTGGCCAAATTTTAAAATTTACAAAAAAATCTTAAATTTGATGTAGGAACTCTAAAAATCTTATTACTTAATTAAATTGTATTCTATTTCTTTGCATGGCTCTCATTTTGTTTTTAACTACAAATGTTTAAGTATTATTATGAYATTGGCCCATCAGAAAAAAAATAAAAATTAGTTTTGTTTGACATTGGCCAAAAACCAAAATTTAAAATAAACAATTTTTAATACCTAAAGAACTTAAATTTTTACTAAATGTTAGTAACATCTGCATTTATAAACTTTATTAATTAATTTCGAAATGGCCAATGTAGACATAGGCCCATAATATATMGAATATTATTTTATTGATTAATATCAAAGAGGCAAATGTCAAATCTAATTTGGTCACACAGTATAAGAGACATTAGCCCTTTTAATACAAGTAACATAATCAAATTTTAATGACATTGGTCAAATAATCTCAATTTCGTCAAAATGTGACATTGGACTTTCTTGMACCGAAATAATCTCAATAATTTCAAAATATTGTTGTAGTATATTATTTAATAATTTTAATAATTTAAAAAATCTGATTTTTAACTACTGCGTTATTGAAGAAAATAGTGATGAACATACTGGTGCATCACCCTGAATGATATATAATATTATGTTAATCAAGCACTATTTTTGTTATGTTTTAACGCACAGTCGAGAAATTCATCATTGGCTCCTACAGAATACCTGTTCAAGATTTTAGTCATCGGCGAACTTGGCACCGGTAAGACTTCCATAATCAAACGTTACGTGCACAAATTCTTCTCGCAACACTACCGCGCGACGATCGGTGTAGATTTTGCGTTGAAATCACTAGAATGGGATTCCAACACAGTCATTCGGCTACAACTATGGGACATAGCCGGTGAGCTTAATAATATCTATATTTTATACAAGTTATTTTACTTGTAAATATTATTGTGTTGGGTAAGCATTTAAGACAACGTGTGTTTACAATGAGATTAATAAATATTAAGTAAAATATACAGAACGGGTACTCCGTTCTACCTACATAATATATTATTATATCCTACCTATTTAGTTAAAATATGTATCAACTCAAACCACTTCTCATTTTTACGTCTCTCATGTAACCACCAACTATACATAGCTAAACAATTAATTGTAGACAAACACCATAACGTAGAACTAATTTTTTTTTAATTYATTTTWTTTTTTTTTKACTTTTACTCTTAATTTCAATTAAAATCGTTTAATATAATGATGTCAACGATGTAGCTAAGACCTTCTACAGACGTTTTAATTTCAACCTACAAAACCACAAACATCTTTTAATCAAAGAACTTGCGTCTATAAATATACCCGGCAACCCACAAAAAAGGTTGAAAAGGCGGTGGTGTAGGGACCTATTAGTCTAGACGAATCTAACTCCTTTTGTTCTTCTTTCTATATCTTTGCTATTTCCACTTATCTTTCCTTATGATATTTTCTAACATTTTTTAACACTTTTTTTCTCATCTTTAACTGTAAAAGTGTCTTCACTGGAAGGTATCTTTAATCCGTCCTTCACGCCATAGTTATCTATTTCATCAATTTCACTTATTGTTCAAAATGTATGTAACAGATTGTGGAAATATAAATAAAGTAATAAAAAAATATATATATATAATGATAATTGTAACATTGATAGTTTAAAACACTTTTAGTTTACTTGGTACTATAATATTTTTTACAGCAGGATTGCTGTTATCAATTAAACTAGGCGTATTATAATAATTAATAAGCATGTTTTTATTAAAAACAATGTATTTACGTATTTTAGGGCACATAATAGGCATATATAGGCACCTGTATAGGTATTATCTAAAAAATAAATACATTTTGGGAGGACAACTTTAAGCTACCTGTGGTGGTGCAAATTACAAACTCTCCTACTGTATATGTATATTATCTATAGCAGGGGTCACCTATTAATATTTTCCGCGGGCCACATTAAGGATTCGGAAAATTCTCGCGTGCCATAAAAATTCAAAGTACATAATATTTATTATAATATGCCGGTTGGCCAAAAATATTATATTTTTAAATAAAAAAAAATATACACTTATTAATTATTATGTAACTAAAACTAATGAAGATATAATTAAATTATTGGCTTTTTCTCTCAGTTTGCGGTCCGGTTAAAATGCATTCACTGGCTGGATGCGGCCCGCGGGTCGTTTGGTGACCCCTGATCTATAGTTTATAGTATTTACTGTTAATATTATATATATGTCTTATATACTTTTTTTAAATTAAAATATAGAAGTAATACCCAACTGTCTGCCCTTCCCTACTGCAAGTAATTAATTCATTATTATTTCCTTTGAGGAAAAAAATCATATATGTTACATGAAAATATCAAATATTTTAATGTTTTTATTTTCAACAAGCTAATTATTTGGAGTGTTATTTTTAAAAGCAATTATTTTAGCTAACTAACGTGACAGTTGTAACTACCTATATTATGTAAGCTATACTTTTAATTTTTTTTTTAATTAATATAATGATGATGTGTTGATGTATAGTTATAGTATTATAGAATTATTTTTTTTAGTAATATAAATATCAGTTAATTTTAAATTGTATTTTTTAAATATGGTTGGATTTTTTTCAAGTCAAAAAATATTTAATTTGGTCTTGGTGTTTTGAAATTTGTAAAATTTTGATTTGAAAATTTAGGAGCCTATTTAGTACGCAATCGTATCGTTCAATAACTTAATTCATTTGTTATTTGACAAATATGTATAAGAAATCGTGTTCCTAAAAAATGAAAATCGTAGGCAATTAAGTTATCTATACCTTTAAAAATGTGTTTTCCAATAATTTAAAAGCTATAATCTATAGAGGTGAGGCCGATTGTCAACAATTTTATTTTGGTATAATTTATACGTATTTCATGTACTTATTACAGGCCAGGAAAGATTCGGGAACATGACCCGCGTGTATTATAAAGACGCACTAGGAGCGTTCGTAGTTTTCGACGTCACACGACCAGCCACGTTTGAAGCAGTGGCCAAGTGGAAACAAGACTTGGATGCAAAGGTCTCGTTAGAAGACGGATCACCGATACCATGCGTCTTACTTGCAAATAAAGTAAATACATTAAATATGTCATTGGATAATAGTAAAAATAATTATTAATTAATCTAGTAAAATATTCAAATTTTAAATACAGGTAGATAGATACTTACTTAAACGTTTCAATATGTATAATAAAAAATGCCTCAATTTTCAATTTCAATACCTTTCCTAATAAGTACTTGTGGGGGAGAAGAGTGGTGTAAAATGCACAGGTTATTGTTTTTTGTGTCTCATAAATTGGAAATAACAGGAATTTTTATGTAAAACCTGCATTCATTAGGAAATAAATTTCGGTTTACTTTGTAGTAATTCAAAAAAATATTTTGACTTCTTTTACTATTTATGTTGGAATTTTCAATTTTTAGTTTATTTTTCATAAATATTGATAAGAAAAACGTTCGCTAAGTATGTTAATAAATTTGACAATTTAATACAAGGTTCCTCAAAAATTTGTATTACTGGAATTAAATACAAATTGAGCGTCGTCATTCCACAAATATTTTTACGAGTAACAAAATTTTAATTTGACAACTGAAGGATATTTGCACGTAAAATAATGATATCTCAACAATTAATTTTAGTTTTTTTGTTGTAACCAAAAAATAATTARTCATAGAAAATTGGAACATTCCATTTGTACCTACTTAAATTTCTCTTTGAAATCATCTAAGAGTACATTGACTCAATGTAAACTATTAAAGGCATTTAATACGTAAATTTAAAAAAAATAATGTATTTTGATAAAAATCAGCTTGGTTAAAAAATTTGAAAATGTAATACTATATTCCTCGTTAGTAGTTAATACCAAAACAAAAAAATAAATAAATAAAACGCCTTTTTTTTAGATACCTGAAGTTCAACTTTTGGTGGAAATTAAATAGGTACCTATTTAAACAAAGAATAATACTGATTTTAGTTATTTTATTGTAATCCATAAATATTATTCGGATAAGCACTTAAAGATTTTACATACATTATTGTATTAAAACATATGGATTAATTTTATGTTACTGCCTTTTTATACCATTAACCTATTATATACACATCGTTTAACGATGTAAGTCTGTRCCTATTGACTCAAAAGTTAATAACAAAAATCCCGTGTGGTTAACGCTCTAATGTAATCAGGTGTTTGTATAGGAAGTCACTGAAATTAAAGTGTTAAATTTGAATTCAATGATATAAAACCATTGTACACGAAAAAATATTTTGACTTTCTGAGGTTACCTATGATATTACTAAATAAATTACGATATTATTATGATTGAAATAATTTATTTTACTATATAATAGGCATTTATAATTATAATAGTACTATTACGGTAGGTTAAATTCATTTTTTTATATTATGTCAAGAGATTATTACATTTTTAAGCTTTTTAGCCCAATGAATATAATTTTATTGACATTTACCGAAAAAAATTGGAAATTGAAAATGTTAGTTAACAGCTCAAAACGAGTCAAAATATTTCTGTAATAGAAAATGATTTTTTTTTTTTATCATATATTATTAAATACACAATCTGTAAATATTATTTTACAACAAGCGTAGGTGATGGAGGTGATATGGCTTGAGTGTCAGAAGATAAGAAGCCACCCATTGGAGGTACTTAAGGTTAGGATTTTAATGTGCTAGTAAGAGAGAGTACACAAGATTAAGGGGAGGTAGAGTTATATACAATATTAGATGAGTAGGTCACGACACCAGGCACGTTTAAGACGTCTTCTGAGGTCACCAAGAATAGCGTTGGTAGATAGCTAGGAAATCAGGGGATTTTATATGGCTGTGGGACTTAGAGTGTGTGCATTTGTAGAAAGTTTTTGCGACGTTTTGGACAATTGGAATGGCTAGATCTCTATGTAGAGTGTCGTTAAATAGTAGGAACTAAGGACCCTTGGTTATTTGGCGGAGACATTTTGATTAGAAGACTTGGATTTTGTTTAAGTTGAATTTTTTGGCTGTACTGGGGTACAGCCCAGAGTTGGATACCGTAAGTCCAGATCGGTTTAAGTAGGAGTTTGTATAATAGTATCTTGTTTTTAAGTTGATGTGTTGAGATGTGAGGAGATAAATTAATTGGCCGGAGCAATTATTTAAGGCAATTCTTGTGTTGTGGGTGTCAGTTACCCAAGTTAACCTGCGGTCTAGATGTAGACCAATGTATCGGACATTTTGGGTGGTTGGGAAAGGTACATTGTTGAGGTAGATGAGAGGGCAGACTATTTACCTTAGTGTGGACTTACAGTGGATGGATTTTGTTTCGTTGATTTTTATCTTCCAGCCTTTATACCAGGTTGATAAGAGATTGAGATGATTTTTGTACAAGGTTTGAGGCTATTTCAAGGTCGGAAAAAATCACTAGAATTACCTTGTCGTCGGCAAAGTCGACAGTTGTACTGTTGGGGATTATAGATTGATCTGAGGTGAATAGATTGAAGAGTAAAGGTGCTGTAACAGATCCTTGAGATACCCCTGCGTGGATCGGCGGTCGGTTAAGGAGAAGCCAGATCGAACGGCAAAATGTCTGTTTTCTAAATAGAAAATGATAAAATAAATGTATGATGTAATTCGATAAGTACCTACCTAGCTATACGGTATTTAATTTTTAAATTATATAATTAAATAATTTCATGAGACATTGAGGGAATACCTATCCAATCTTGTAAACTTTTGAACTTCCTTGAAACTTTTTTTTTTCGACTAAGGTATACACTCTTTAAAGGAATTTAAAATTTTAGATATGAGAAGAAAAATTTAAAGAATTTCTAAGTCAATAGATTTTGCAAATTTTCATCATTTTTTCAAAATTTTAACTTCGGACCCTCATAAACAACTATTGTAGATTTACGCTTAATTTTTTTTTTAATTTCCTGCAATAACAATTTATGAAAACCTTGTATTATACATATTTTCAAGTTATTTAACCAGGCAAAATTTTTATTTATCRACATTAATTAAAAGAAACTAGGACTAATCGAAAATGTCATATGCCTATAAAATAGCTTAATACAAATCAAAATAACCAATAATATAGGCTGACAAACTGATTTTACTCAGAATTTTTTTTCTTACAATTATTTGTCAATTTATAGTTAAACTAAAATTTAAAAATAATAATACATTTTAATGACTTACTGCAGACTAGACGGGTTCACTCGATAGTCGATACCTATTTTACACCAGTGGTTACCTATTATTTTCTCTCCTTTTTATAATTATTTTTACACACTAAATACCAATACATAGTATTCTATAATAAACACATGTTTTACTATTATATTGTTATCGTTTTAGATAAGCTTCGACGCTTCGAGTGTARTTATGACCTATAGGTTTATGTGTTGAATTGTAGGTAACTAGTAACTACATAACCTGAACGACTATGTTGAATTATATATAAAAAAAAATGATAAATATTATATTTTAGGTTTTAATGTTTCACTAAAATTTAATGGAACAATTATAATATGCTACTAAATCTTGTTKTAAGGCCATTAGGCATTACAGTTAATTCATTAAACATTCGTTTAGTCATTGTTTGTAAACCCGGCATAAGAATTTGTTGATTGAGGTATCTCGCTTGTGTAATGACCGTAGCTCAAAACAAATGTGGAAGTTAAAAGAACATTGAAACTTTAATATTATTATTATATACTCACATCAATACATCGTAATATTACTGTCATACAGATTTATCGTTATACTAGGTATTGTGTCTATATGACACTATTATGTTATATTATTGGTTTTGATTTCCACATAACAATACCTGATAATACAATCAAATAAATAGGTAGAGGATGACTACTACCCCAAAATGTATTGGATTCTTATCATTTCAATATAAAATCCTCATCAGTCGATTGTAGAGCAATAGGTATGAATTAGGTCATTAGGAATATAAAAAACAAGATGATCCTGCCTATAGTGATACAATTTGACATGACACAGAACTATTGATGTATACCTAAGTAAATTGTAGATATAAAACTTACTATAAACTATAAAATATCGAAAAATCGAAAGTATATAATGTGCTCACAAAATATTAAAAATATTTATTCTATGAGACGTTTTTCCATATTATACCTATTTAATATTTTTTATATATTTTTAAATTTCCTTCACTTTTTTTGCAGTGTGATGAGACTAAAGAAGGAATGGTGAATAGTATTGCCAAAATGGACGAATTTTGCAAAGAAAATATGTTCACTGCTTGGTACGAGACGTCAGCCAAAGAAAACGTCCATATCGACGATGCAGCAAAGACACTCGTGACTCAGGTAAATTAAGATTAACCTAAACTGGCTAAATTAAGGTATCTATCAATTCTAAACTGTTCTATAAATTAAATTACTTATAAATTCAAATATACAAAGACGGATGCCGTCATAGACGCATAGAGCATAAATAGTATTATGTATAATTAATTTATCGTAACGTGTAAACGTTATCACTWAAAMTTCTCTAGGTACTCGTAGGTACTAAAATTATAATATATATTATATAACTACCTATATGTAAATCCATATATTTTGTTACCTACACAAAAACATACCGATACCGATTATTAATTACATTTTATGCATTCATAACCAATGTTCGTTTATGGTGTAGGTATTTATATTATAATAACATCACTACCTATTTAATACCAACGAAATTCCAAATAAAAACTACCTACTTGGTTTGTTAATTATCCTAATGACATTTTTTTTTTTCGAGACGTAAAATATAATTTATATAACCTGCCATAGGATGTGACACAAACTAGCTCCTATCACAAACAAAGATAATACAGACAATACAGTATAATATAAAATATGCCTATAACTTACAGTTGCGTGAATTATTTATGTTATTATATTTAATGTAGCAGTCAAACATCGATGGGCTCCATTAATATTCTGCGTTTAATAGTAGGTACACCTACGGCTTAGGTACCGATTACTGTTTTAGATTCTGAGCGGAGTGATCCATGCAGGGTTTTACAAATTTATAATGACGTGTGTTTTTACACGATAAGTAATTGAAATAATGTTTCGATTTTCAACTTCAGTATCTTTTGATAGGAAAGTGAATTTTTAGTTGGCGCATTTGGGTCATTGAAATTTAAAATTATCAGTAGTTTTTAAGAGCTCCTGGAAAAACAAAAAAAATAAAATAAAGAAAAACGGGAATTGTTACGAAAAATAGATTTTCGACAAAATCAATTTTGGTTTTCGGTGTTAATTTAAAATAAATGAATGTATGAAATATTTACTGAATGTTTTTATCAACATTTTCTATACACTATCAAATGTTCAAAACATTATAGCATATTATGTTGAGCTATTTATAGGCTTATGAAATTTTTGATTATTATTAGTTTTTTAAATTAATGTCCATAACAAATAATGGGCTATGCCTCCCTTCCTTCAMATACCATAAAAAATGGCTGACTACCTACCTTCTTTACTCATAGATGGAGATTAGTGGGTGCTTTGAAGAAAGGGTGGTTAATCGAATATTTTTCAAACCCCTACTTATCATTTTATAAAATAAGATTTAAGCACCCCCCCCTCAAAAAAAAAAAAAATTAATCAAATTTCTATCTATGTACCTAACTTTACTATTAAATATTAATTGATATTTTAACTATTATAATAGCTATTAATCGTACACAGATATTATTGGCAGAATAATCGCTTAAGTTATATAAGCATTCAATTTTTGTTACGACTGTTATCTAATTGTGTCTGAAGGCATAAAATGTTTTAACCTTTAGATACAATCAAACAAAAACATATTAATGACATCATAAGATAACAAAAAAAAAATAATAATAATCTTAAATATTATTTAGAAATTTATTATACTTATAAAACTACACTACAAGTAGATAAATAATATTTTAATACCTAATATTATATTCAGAATAGTCTAGAGTTAGTCTGGCATATGATTGAGTCCCTAGTGGTCCTAGTCCAGTTATTTTTATTGTACACCAAAACTGCACAAAAACTTTTTTTTAAATACATTKTGCTATTTTTTGTTAATACATTTTAATTTTAGTTAAAACATAATTCAACACTTAAACATTACTATTTACACTCCTATAATTAATACATTACCTACCTATACAAGATAAATTAAAATTTATAAACATTTTATATTTGTTTTTTGTTTTTTACATTACATTCTTATAAAATCTTTATTATTATTTTGAAAAAGTATTAATGCCCATAGGCATCCCCAGAAGGAAGCAAGACAGGGCACTTACCCCCATAGAATCTTAAATTTATTTTCCAAAGTATTATCTTTAACACGCCGATTTGATCAACATAGATTAATGTAAACATAAAATTTACAATTAGATACCTACTAATGTTTTATATTTGATAATACTTTTTAAAACTATATTTTTTTTTATTTCAGATTTTGAAGTACACTGCTCAACATAAACCAACATACTTAAAATCAAAGGGTCAAATAATATTAAACAACACCCCAAATGATACGCAGAAAAGTTGCTCCTGTTGATTAAAATTAGATCAAATAATTTAATCATTGTTTATTCGTTTATATTATTATATACCACAGTACAAATTGTTTTTTTTCTCAATATATTATGTCAATTATTATAAATTTTAGTGCCTCATTAATATCTGAAACATAATTATCTAAAAGCAATAATCAAATTGAAAACTATAAGAATTACACAACAGTTTAGTTACAGTTAAATAACTGATGTAGTCAATATGATGTTTTTCAAACTAGCTAAACACTGTATATTGTAGTAGGTACATAAATGTTTGCACAGTATTTTGACCTAATAATTTTTGATGTGATATTATGTGTGTACTCTCCAGATTGTGTATACTTCTACCAACTATTTGTATTGTAAATACCTATGGTAAAATTAAATCAGATTTTTATTTCTTAGCTCTACTGTTTTTATTTAACATATGATATATTAAGTGCCTTATTTAATCAAATGTATTGTTTAAAATCTGTATTGGTATGTATATGTGTAAGTGTTGAGTATATTTTATGTTTATTATTAAATACTTTTATGACCTAGGTACCTAGGTGTAAAAATATATAAATTAGATATAAACTGTTGGATAACTAATTTAATATTATTCTATCTATATTGTTAACATGTGGAAATAAATTTAAATACAATCTTTTGTCTTAAACAATATTATTTAGTTTTGTATATTAGTATAATTATCATGCCAATTTTTCCAACCTTATTACCAAATCTAATAAAGATAAACAATTTATATGGACTCTAGGACATTGTAGCATAAAGTGAAACAAGCAGTTGTATGTAGCAGTAAGAAATCCAACAAACAACMCTAACAGTGAAATACATTATTTTTCATCACTTGTAAGTGTTGTAAAAATACAAAAAAATATAAATAAATACTGTATGGGTATATGGAACACAGAATGGTGCAAGACAGCGAAAACAAATTAAGAGAAATAAAACACCCCATTGAATTCAGACCAAAATACTTAAATTTAGGTAGAAAAAAAGAAATATTTCTTAACTGACTAAGTATTGGTCACACAAAATTCTCACATAGAGATGACCTTATTATTATGAAAAATACAGAATCATCCTTATGCCAACATTCAATACAAACAATTCTGTCAAGCACATCATCCACAGTCTAAATTTAATCACGACAGAAATTAATTTAAAACCTCAGAAAAGCTATATGAAGTAATTGGTTTAATGTCAAATATAGTCAAATACATCATTTCCTGGTCTTAAAAAAAAAATTATATATATATATAACTCAATAAATGAAATTATAAATATTTATGTTAAGATAATAACCTTTGTAGTCTATACTATAAACAATAAGAAAATAAATAAATTCTTTCAAAAAACTATTATTTTATATTGATACCGAAGATAGTAGAAGATTACATAGAAATACAAACCCAAGAATATTACTTATCACTTATCAGTCATTTATTACAAATTAATTTTTAGAAAAACATTATTATAGGATGAAAAATTATAAAACTAATTATAACAACCTCTTGAAAAAATAGATTTAATGTTGATCTTAGATTTTTGCGAAAAACCCATGATTCCAATTAGTAATGTAATAAATAAAGTATATGTCATTACATAATTATTTATTTTTTTTTTTTGATCAATTATTGAAATCGTTCACTAAACAATTATCAACATACGAGAAGCTGTGATTCACCTGTGAAAATAAAATCATATTAACACTTTAAACATAATAATATATTACACAAAATTTCAATATTATAAATTAACAATTTTCTGTTTTCAGTTTAATGATTGATTATATTTTAAATGTTATCAATTTGATGAAGATCTCAATAACATATAATTCAAGAAGTATGATGATAAAAGCAATTTATTTTTAAACACTCATTTTCTTGAACATTTATTTATGTTTTTGGAAATATATTTTTTACATACATTTAATGAAAATTAGTGTTCACTTATAAAAGAATCACCTTTTATAATATAATTTCATAAGATCATAACAACCAATTATTATTATTATTTTTTTTTAATGTTTTTTTAGGTTGGCTATGATAACATACAAGTACCCAGAATATTTTCATGATGAAATAATACTGAGATAATACAAAAACTTAAATGTTTAAACAAGGTAATTAGCAGAACTCTGAACTTCTTGTATTCACATATTTTTTAAGAATCTGATTCACATAAATTCATTCATATCTCAAATCTAAAAAATTATATTTCATATTTTTGGATATTTTGTTATATTTTGCTAACTAATATTTTATACATTAACCCATATTTTGTAAATAAATCAGTCAACAAAATTGCATTTGATAGAAATCTAATTTAAAATTAAAGAGCAATCAAGAATAATAAATTATACTTTTGGATATGAAATTAAAAATGGTCGCTTAATTAAAAATAATAAAACTTAACAAATAATAGGATAAAATAAAAATAAGTAAATAATTTTTTTTTAATATTTTGTTTTTTTGTAACTACAAATTATGTTAACTTATGTTAATTTTAATTTCAATAATTAAATTACTTAGGATCAAAAGTTAGTTCTTCTAAGTTAGATAAAATATATGAAGATTAATAATGCTAGATTATTAATAATTACTTAAAATACTTTAATAATGTTATAAAAGTATTATGATATTTACCTATAATATCATTAGTTATAAATACCAATATTTATATGCGTTAATAATGTAGTAATAAGTATGAGACTTTAAACAAAAAACTCTCACATAACATAATTAAATAGTACGTATTAATAAACTTATTAAAAAGATAAAGGTACATAACAATATATTTATGACTACAGACAGCAAAAATAATTTATTCCAATTCATTTAATTGATTTTCTTGCAGAAATCTGCATGTATCTGATATATTTAAATTGAATTTGTATTAATCCTTTAATGTAATATAATTAGTTATATTAATAATATTGTTCATACAACTAACAACATATCTTATGTTAAACATTGATTTTAAGACTTTACCTTTTTATATTGTAAATATAAGTTTGGATCACATTTAGCACTAATATGTTGACCTTTGTCATGGCATACAATATGTACCAGTTTAAGATTAACTGTTGTGAAGAGCAGTTCATAGAAATAGTTCATATTTATTGAATGGTGAGATTCAGATGCCATTTTACTGGCTTCAAACAATGCAGGTATAACAGTTCTAGATCTCTCCATCCTAATAATAAAAATAAAAATCAATAATAAAACTAAAATTCTATAATTAATTATAAATTTAGGATTTTAAGTTAGAAAGAATCGTTAAGAACTATTAAAGTATTATAAACTATACCAATGGTCTAAGTTCCAAGTAGAAAATATAATTCTACTCTCTCTGTTTTGGTATGGATTGATTTTGTGACCAGTACCACGTTCATAAGTACAAATTGATTGATTCCATGCTCCCTCACATTTAAACGTTCCAACTTCATCGCACAAACCATTTGTGTTTGATCTATCAAAATAATATCCATGATGTTTGTTTTTTGTTAAAAGCTCACTGAATTGTTTAAATACTTCATCCAAGTACTTCCTGCACTTTGAATGTTTTATGTAAAAATCTGACTTAATTACATCCGTTTTTGTTTTGTACATATAACTTCGAATTCGTTCTTGGCAGCGTTTGAACATGAATTCTTCTTTTGTTCTTGCCCTAGTTTCCAAGCCTTAAAAATACATAAATTTTTAAAAATGATACACCTAATATTATGACATATGTATAGTTTATCACCTGTAACTTAAAATAATAATTAAAATTATTATGATTTATCATCATACACTCGTAACATTTATTGACAGGAAAGTTGTTAAGAGTTGAAATTTTGAGTTTATAATATTTGAATAAAATTATCCCAAACTTGAATGTATGTACAATGCATATAAGTACTAGTGTTGGGTGAGAATCATTTTTTGATATAGAGTTGAGTTAAAAATTATATAACTAAACAATTACAGAGTATTCAAAAAAATGTAATTAATAAAGGGGTAATCATTATAATTATTTTATTACCTTGAAACCAATCTGGGTCTATTGATCTTAGACTGCTTATCTCTTTTTTTTTATCATTATCATCATCTGCATCCAGAACTGAAGATAATATTCTAATTTTTTCTTTAATGTTTTCATCCATAAATGATTTTATTTTAATTGAAGTCTCTAATGTATTATTATTTACAGCTGCAAGCACATTATATATTAAATCAGCACCTGAAAAAATGAAAAATAATCAAATCAAATTTAAATATATAACTAAAACTAATAAATACATATTCAATATTATGTCATTATCATAACAGAATAATAAGAACTTCTTTTTGATGATTAAATAAATTATTCTTTTGAAGAAAAAGAGAAAATATTTATTTTAGGGATAAATGGAATGACCTAATGAAAAAATACTAAAAATATGTTTATTAACAAATATTTAAGGAACACTGGAGTGCACAAAGAATTGTTTGCAACATTGAATTCACGTTTAATCTTAGGATAAATAATAAAATATAATTTTAGACATTATATGGTTATTTATTTATCCCTGATAATTAACTAGAACTAAGTGTTCCATCAAAAATTCAAATATTAACCACAATATTAAATATGATATTTAACTACTTAACCGAAAAATATTTTAATGCTCACAATATTATTACAGATAAGTTTTAATAATTAAAATTTATTTTTCATCTCTTGAAGTGTTCATAAGTTTTATTTGTGGTATATTCTTCAAAAAATACATAAATTAAATTAATTTTTATTTTCCTTGAGATTCATGTTATGAAATTTGATTTACTTTTTTAAATATTAATTGAATCTAAAATAATAAGTACCTATTTTATAAAACATATTATTTGTTATATCAATAAAATGTTTAATTTTATTATTTTGTGAAAAATGTATAAATTATTTTCAGTTTTAGTGATCAAGTATATTTTATAAGATGTATATACATTTATCATAAATAGACATTATTAAATAAAATACAGTATTATAGTACTGCTTTAATAAATTCATAATCAAAAATAATTAAAAAGCAATAATCTGTTTGTTATGACATACTACAACAATACAGGTTGTAACCTATTGTTTAGTATAAAATCTTCATTAGACATGCTTGGCAGGTTAATGTGATTAAAACATGTTTGGTAATTAATTCTTTTATATTATTTGTTTTATAATAATACTACATTTATAGGAAATGATTGTGCAAAAATAATAACTATATATATTTATAAAAAATATTATTATAATAATATAACTTGATTATTTAAGTTCCTGGTCATAATGTGTAAATTAATTTTAGTATTATTCGCTATTTACTTGTCGTCTGCATGGAGCTCCAGAATCAAAGAAGTATTTAGCTTAAAACAAGTTTTTTTTTCACCCATCAATGTGACAATACTTAAAAATAACACTAAACCTGAACCAACTAATGTAATGCCACTGGCTTTGGAGCGATGGCAGAATAAATTATTTTTGGTTACACCTAGATTCAAGCTTGATGTACCAGTAACGTTATCATACATAAATATAACAAGTAAGATAATTAAATACATTAACAAAAGTATTATTATTTACATTAAAAAAAAAAAATGATTATAATTTAGATATGGAAAGTTATAAAAATAACACACCTTTATTGATTCCCTATCCTGATTGGAAAATGAATGAAATATCTGAACATAATTTTAAGTCAGTAGTCAAAGTAAGAGCTGATGTTTGTGACCGCTTATGGATATTAGACAATGGAAAGATAAACAACAAGCAAGAAAGTATTCCTGTTATACATGTGTATGACTTAAAAAATGATTTGCATTTGAGAACATTTGATCTTGGGCGTTTATCAACTATAAATTCAGATATCACCAACATGGAAATAGATGTAACATCTTCAACTTGTGAAGATGCATACGCATATATACCAGATACTGAAACTTATCGATTATTAGTTTACAGTTGGAAGACTAATGAGTCAAATTCAATATCACATAATTATTTTCATTTTGATCCGCTTTGTGGCGATATAGACTTGGGCGAAGTTCATTTTCAATCTCAGAAAGGTCTATATGGAATAACTCTATCACCAACAGCAAGAGATGGTTTTAGAACTATTTACTTTCATAGTATTGCCAGTACAATGGGTTTTGCAGTTAATTCGAAAATAATACGTAGTGGAAATTATGATAAGAATGTAAATGTGTATGATTTTAAAGTGATGGGAAATAGAGGTACTAATAAACAAGCTACATCATCATCGTTTGATATGGAAACCGGTGTTTTATTTTATGGGCTTCTTTTAAAAAATGTTCTTGGTTGTTGGAATTCTTATAGGTAATTTAGTGATTATTACTTATATGATATATATTGTATATAATTTTATAATTATAAATAATTACAGTGGTGAAGAATATAATGAATTGACCCAAGGCGTAATAAGCTTAGATAATAGTATAGATATGTATCCAGCTGACGTCAGAGTTGATAGAACAGGAAATCTTTGGGTATTATCAAATTCATTTCAAATATATAATAAAAAGGATTATGATCAGAATCTAATCAGTGTCAAAATATATATGACTCCAGTTCGACAAGTAATCAAAGGATCAATTTGTGATGAAATGTAATCAACTGTAAGTAGATACCTGTTTCAAATGTTTCCCCATTTAACCGAAATATAAATAATGTCTGTGCTGGTAGTTGTTGAAAATAATCTTCATCATCTATTACTGTAMCATCAAGAGTCATCATAGTCACATTTGCATGGTCTAACTATAAAATAAAATAATAATAAAAATTGGTATTATATTTATTTATATGATAATTCAACTTTATAACATTAAGTAATCTTTATATTTAATTAACATGTATAAGTTGATACCTACAAGCATAAGTAAAACATGTGTCGAAAGTAAGGGAGACTATTACAATAATTATTTATCAGGTATATATTACTAATATATTTCCAACATAGGTGACAATGGGTCATTACTGAGTAGCGGAGACAAAACTATGTTTCTAGTTGATGTTTGATTTCAGGTTTGTAAAAATATTTTTATACTGTACATTATTTCAAAAATATTGAAGAACTTAACTCGATATTATTACAGTAGGTACTATACTAATAATATTAAAGTATCAACTGTCAGGTAAAGGTAAGTCAAGTCAAGTAAAATATAACAATAATCTTACATACAACTTTAAAGACATAGGTTTTAATTTACAAATAGATATGTGAATTGTTTACCTTTAATTTTTGACATCCTTTAGTAAAAACGTCTTTTAAAGAATTTCCGACAATACCAATTCTCTTATCTTGTGCACAGTTAGTGATTTTATAGCCTTTCATATTTAAAAATATTCTAATAACCGATTAAGTTGTTACCTATTTAAACAAAGAAAAAGTTTAACTTAAATTACATTTAATATATTACTAAATTGTACTTACTTAATTTCATTATACTTCAGTAAATAATAATATTTTGTAATGCTTTATTGAGGATTCATAAGCATCACAGATAATTAATAAATATGAAACAATCTACAATTCAAATGTTCCACTTTGGAATCTATATAATTTAAATAAAAATAAACATATTATTACAAAATGTCGCCATGTTACGTGAGGGAAGTTAGTTAGTACTTAGCATTGGCAAGAGGCAACACATCAGAGCATCGGATCCATTCTTATCAATAGCTAGGTCAATACTGCTAACTCACGGTGTATACCTATTGTAATAACTATCGATAGATTAATACACCAGCATTTTCACAGTTTTAGATTATTAACAAAGACTATAAACATATTAACATTGATATTGACGAAGTTAGAATATTTTTTACTGAAATGAAGTTCTGACACAATATTTCGGATTTTTTAAACTCTGTCATATTAACGTAAAAGTGCGAACTTCGAACGACTCAAAACTGAAATCAATAGCAAAGAATTTAATAAAATGCATATACTAAATACAGTATAATATAGTTCAGTGCAGTAGGCTCAAACGTTTAAAGTTGAAAGTTGTACTCTGCAGTATGCTGAACTTTTGTAGTCTATCATATTATCATAATATTATTATCTACAATCAAATACAATAAGACAATAATATTATGATCTCAGATAAGGTTTTATTATTATTATCACTATAAAAAAACCTAGTACCTATATTTATCTTACTAGAGACTAGATCACTAGAGACTACAATTATACTACATCATAACAGTAATAGGTATTTCAGTACCTAATCACTGTCACACATTATTAGTTCTTTCCCCGTCCCGCGCGATTTATTTCATTTCTCACGCATGAGCAATAAGCACTTCGGGCCCGAACAGGTCTGCTTCAAACACGGACTACCGCGTGATATACACTATAGCTGTATCCAGTGTACCTACCTATATGATCTAATTGATCTAAGATATCCGTGGTCAGCAGCAGCTTAGATCTATGATAGCTTAAGTAAACCAGAAGCTGACTAATGTTATTGAACTACGACCACGATTTCAGACATACTTAAATCTTGGCTACGACTTAAAGAAGATATTAATATCACGCATAGAGACATTTTCTATGGGGAGGGGGGGGGGCAATGTTAGGATTTAAGGATAAATATTATAATTTTACTAGGTGTTTTAAAATAATAACCTTTTTTTATTATACTCGTACTCAACTCAATAAATTATATTTTATTGTATTACAACTTATTTTATACATTAAATTTGTTGTATAGTATATAGTAATTTATCTTAAAACATTCAATTAAAAAAAATATTTTGAAAAAGCCAGATGGGTGCAAATTGCCCCAGCTTTCACCCCCCTGCGGGCGCCTATGATATCACGTATTATATGAAATCATACGTAATAATAAACCTATATAAAAATATATACCTACTCATATAATGATATCATGTTCGTTAGGCYTGTTTTACATAGGCGCATTTTCAGATTACATTATTTATTAAATTCATACGGGAAGAAGATCATGGGAAAGGTGCTTAGGTGAGTATGTAACTGGAGACAAGTGCGTATGATACGCGTCCACACTCCATGTGAAACGGGCGTAAGAGGCCAAATGAAAATTCTTATTCTAATCGCTTGAAGCTATTTGCATGTAGTAACTAAATACAAATTTATATCATGATAAATGCCTATTCATACATTGCCATGGTACAGGCGCGTATCCAGAATTTTATTTCGTGAGGGGTTGATCAAAATGTATAAATGTAGTCCATAGTTATACAGTGAAACAAAAAAATATAATTTAATGATTTAAATTACAATGTATAAATAATAATATGTATTAGCCATTTGGTACTAAATAATAAGTTTTAAACGTCTGGCTCGTCCACTATTGGCAAACTTGTTTAAGACCATATCATCCGTTATAAAAATATTTCTATGAATATTTAATAATGCTATACTAACCAGACGATTCTCTGAGTTGAGTTTCTCAAATATGTTTTTAACCGTCACAATGTTGAAAAATTGCGTTCGCCGTTCAGCAGATGCAGTTGACACGGGAAGTATGGCAAATATTTTCAGCAGTTGGTAAAGATTTAGGAAACAATGTTTTATCACAAGAAATTAAAGCGTCTGTTGCGGTAGAATGTCTTTATGATGGTACTACTGAGGTCCATTTAAAAATCCATAAATCGTACTCAGCCTCCAATGAATCTTTATAACCCGGTAAATCATCCATGTAAAAATCAACTGCTTCACTAATAAATAAAAACGATTTATTAACACAAAGAGAAGGTAAAATGTACTGTAAAGAAATAATAGTTTCTTTTTGATGCGTAAAACGATCGTCTAATGATGATATTAAATCATCTAAGCGAGGGATAAAAATAGTTCTCATATAGTTCTTCAGTGAAACACTGTGGAATATTTTAACGATTTCTTTGATCGACACATATCGACATATCCGTGGTTTTTTTTCATCGACATTTAATAATGTTGCTATCGTTTTTAATTCTTTGTAAATATCACCAAATACATCTGAACAATTTTTCTCACATCTCTTTAAATGTCATAAAATTAAATTTAAGACTTTTGCAGTGAAATGCATTTGCATTTAGCCAATACCTTCCTTCTCATTCTTTTTTCATTATTTATCTATAGGTAAATTTTGTGTACCCAATTTTTAAACTTAAATAATTTAATCATTCCCTGTTAATATCCATTTGACCATGAACTGGAAATTACATATTTATATAATTAATCCTATATTTTTAAAATTTTAGGAAGTATTATTTTGCCCAGTAATGAAACCAGATGATCCAAAATTAAAGAAGAAAAACCATGATGAAAAATCTGCAGTATAAAAACTATGTAATGTAATTGTTAAGTTTTCACTGTCTCAATATATGAGTAATTTATCAGTATTACATGTATGAAATGTATTATGGATTTCAATTAAATGCCTTCAAATAACTAAGTGACCTTCAATTTACAAATTTTTAACTTATTTAAATAATTGTATTCAATTAGTGTTGGCATTTAACTGCGCAAGAAAACATTTGCATTTTAAAATTATGTGGTATGGATTTTTGTTTCTTTGATATTCTGACCAAAATTTGCATTGGGTTCCTTAAAAATAGATGTCACTCTAAAATTGTTTGTATGAAAAAAAAAGTTGCCACTGTATAGTGTATACTTTAAACAGCATATCAATGATTACTAAAAATATTTAATTTATACACAGATTAATCCATAAGATTTATACAATCTGGTTTTGATGTGTATAATTAAGTTTGATAATAATTAACCAACAACTTAAGTAAGTTGGTACAAGATTGAAATTTTTACCAATTTTTACAATTACATCAATGACATTCAATTTATATTAAGAAAACGGAGTACTTTAATAACGCATATTATAATAGTATCTGTGGCAAAATGTTAAATGGTTGGATCATATTTTTCATTTACTACATTTTCAGCGAAAAATAAAAACGATTTTTATCGTCTGCGTTTATATTACTTATCAGAAATTCTGTAATGCATAAATACATTATAATGTAGGTAGGAACTACCAGAAAAATAACATAATTTTACATAACTTTCATCTTTCGGTCATTTGTAAATTGCAGAAAAAACTATACATACCTATTAGTTCTTAGGCTATTACTTACTTGAGAAGAGTCTAAATTAAGGAGTTTTTATATTATTGTTTCGGGGATATCTTACACATAAAATATTGTATTAATTCCTTAGGCCTGACTTTTTAGACCAAACTCAACAAACTAAATATCCAAATAAAAAAGGAAATCCAAAATTACAAAAATCAATCATACAACACCTATGTAGAATCTTTAACTACTAAAAATATATCGTGTGGAAAGCGACAAAAAACATTCTACGAATAAACCAACCCATCCCTCCTCTTAGAAAAGAAGACAATTCATGGGCCATTACCGACACCGATAAATCTAATATCCTAGCTCAGCACCTAAAAAACTGCTTCTGTCCTCATGATATTCAACCCAGTCCCACTCAACTGAAAATAGTAGAGTACTACCTTGAATCTCCTCTCCCAATGTCTCTGCCTGCTAAAGCCACATCCCCCGAAGAAATAAACAATATAATAAAAACAATCCCTATCAAAAAATCCCCAGGTCACGACTTAATTACCAACTTTATAGTAAAAAACCTACCACGTAAAGTCATAATTTATTTATCCCACTTATTTAATGCACTGTTTAGATTATCATACTTTCCTAGTACCTGGAAATACTCTATCATAATTCTTATTCTCAATCCAAACAAACCACCCGAAAATCCGGAATCATACAGACCAATTAGCCTTCTTCCCTCCATATCAAAATTTTTTGAAAAAATGTTATTAAAAAGGCTCCTCTCCATCGCCACCAATGCCAACATCATCCCGCACACGCAATTTAGTTTACCTAACCATTCGACCACTCACCAACTACATCGCACTGTCGATCATATCTCCAACGCTCTGGAAAAAAAAGAATTCTGCCCCACCGTTTTTCTCGACGTCTCCCAGGCCTTTGACCGGGTCTGGCACGATGGACTCTTCTTTAAATTAAAAAAGTTCCTTCCAGCCCTCTATTTTCTACTATTAAAATCCTACCTATCAGACCGTTCACTATTCGTCTAAAAAACAGCTACTCAATATGTCACCCCATAAAAGCAGGTGTCCCACAAGGAAGCGACATCGCCCCTTTCCTATACTCTGTGTTCATCCAAAATATCCCAAAGACACATTCATTGGCACATACGCTGACTATACTCTAATATCGGCGTCACATCGCGATCCTGAAATTGCTAGGTTTAGGATTCATAATCACCTTAACATGATTAACTTATGGGCTAATCGTTGGAAAATAAAAATAAATGAAACCAAATCAATTCACGTAACATTCACTTTACGAAACTCTGACTGCCCTCCAGTTACACTCAACAACAAAACCCTTCCTTCAGCAAACGAAGTTAAGTACTTAGGGCTCACATTTGACAAACGTCTAACGTGGGGTCCACACCTAAAACTAAAACGGAAACAAGTTAACCCCAGGCTGCAGCCCCTTTTAAAATCTAAACTATCCCTAACAAACAAGGTGACAATATATAAAGCGATAATCCACCCGGTCTGGCTCTATGGCATTCAGCTATGGGGGTCTTCAAAGCCTTCCAACACCAGAACTCTACAAGCTTTTCAATCAATATGCTTACGACTAATAACCTCCGCCCCCTGATATGTAACAAATAAAAATCTCCACAAAGATTTAAATCTTCCTACCCTTAACGATTTGACCAAATCCCATTATACCAAACTCCACACTCATTACAACCCTTTAATCCAAAAATTATCCTCTGCAACACACGCTCCCAAAAGACTAAAAAGACTGTGGCCCCGAGACATGCTCAAAGCATAAATACAAAAAAAAACAATTAAAAATATACCAAATAATTAACTTAATGTTTCTTGTCAGGTGGCACTACTGAGGGCCTTCCTTTTCTAATATTCAATGTCATATAAATAAAATTTTGTCATCATACTTACTGATTATTTTTCTTACGATAGGTTAATCCATTAGGTAATTATAAATACTAGAATTT